TGCAATAATGCATTGTTATTCCAAATAATTTATTGTTAAGTAGAAAACCTGTGTGGAGTTTAAAAGTTTTCAGTTAATGTATTTTTGAGTTCTGAGGTGCAGCTCTTACTCCAAGAGAAGCTTTAAGTAAACCCAGGTAGCAACTGCCCAGAGCAGGTGTCCCCTGGCAGGGAGGGATGCCATCCAGAGGGACCTGGACAGGCTTGAGACATGGACCCATGTGAACTTCAGGAAGTTCAACAAGGCCAAATGCAAAGTCCTGCACGTGGGTTGGGGCAAGCCCGAACACAAATCCAGACTGGGCTGAGAATGGATTGAGAGCAGCCCTGAGGAGAGGAGTTGGGGCTGTTGGTTGATGAGAAGCTCAATGTGAGCAGGCAATGTGTGCCGGTAGCCCAGAAAGCTATTAGGAAGAAATTCTTTACTGTGAGAGTGGTGAGGCACTGGAACAGGTCGTACCTCACCAATGGTTGCCCAGAGAAGCTGTGGATGCTGCATCCCTGGAGGTGTTCAAGGCCAGGCTGGATGGTTTGAGCAACCTGCTCTAGTGGGAGGTGTCCTTGCCCATGGCAGTGGGGTTAGACTAGATGGTCTTGAAGGTCCCTTTCAACACTAACCATTCTATAATCAGGATCTTGACTTGAGGAGTGATGAAGTTGTATTAACCAAGCTGAAAGGCAGTGGTAGGTGCGTGGGAGCTGAGCTCTGCCCTGTGGCATGGGCAAGCACCAAACATGGGGCACTCAGAAGCGCTGTGACCTTCACAGTCAGACAGACCGAGCAGTTCTTTTTAGGAATGGGAAAACAAGAACAGTTAATGTGTTGTATCATGCATTGGGTCTCAAGAAGAGTGCTGGAAGGGGTGGCAATCAGCTGTTTCGGTGCTTGATGCCTGCACTCTTGTTACCACGAATTGTCATATAAATTAGTGAGCAATGGCCATCGTGTCCTTCTCTGTTTGCTTACAAGGGAGGGGAATCTGATCCAGAAGAGGCAGAAGCAGTGAGCTACAAAAATGTAAACAATTCCGAGCAGCAGACAATCATTACATTTTTCCGTACTGAGAAATAATTTGGCATGTTCTATGCAGGTTTTGCAAAAAAATGTTTAGCTTTCAGAGAAGCTATTTTCACTCTAAGCTGCCGTTAGTTGCCAGCCTTATAAATCTTTAAAATAGAGTCTTAGGTGATACGTAGATGCACACTTAGCTGTGCACAGATTTTCTTTGTTGTAGGAAAAAACTTAACCACAATTTGTTTTACTGGAGTTGTATGTGAAGTTTTGATGTTGTTATAGCCCTACTCGAAGAAAGCCATGTAAAAACCCGACCGTTCCCCACCTGTTTTGCATTAGAACACGTCTGCACACAAATACCCTTTTTTGCATATGCACTGTTAACCCCGAGTTTTAGGAGTTCATCCTGAAGATGTGCTTGCTCTGCATGAAAGGCACGAGGCACAGCAGTCTCACGCTGTGTTCATCTCAGAACGTGTTTGTCCTTCCGCAGGGTCCCCCCGATGCAGCCCTTTGATTCTCCCCGCCGCGCTGCGGAGCCGTGGGGCTGCTGGGGACTGCATTTTAACACCGTTAAGCACATATTAGAAATACCCAAGTCATGTATTGGAAACCAGCCGTGTTTCAAGTGCCTGTGGAATTTGTTTTGCAGTCTTCAAAATTTCACAGACCTTTAACTTTTTAGGACATTAACCCATGGGTGATTACTTTCAGAAGAGCTCAGCACGCTAATGGATAATCTTCATCATGTTTGGGGAGTGTGTTGATTTTCAGGTCCTCTTTACTTTGCACTGCATTAGCATAGGACTTCTGCAAACATTTTTGCATTATCGGTTTCCACTGTAACACGTGCAGCATACAAAGTTATAATAAAATTAAATAATCCTCTGGGTTTTACCACCTTTAGAAGAAAACAATTTACTCATGAAGGAAAGGTTTTCCATTTCTTTGCACTTTCTTGGAGGTCACAGATCTTTGGAGTAGGGAGAACTGTGTTATGGTATTGGACTTGAAAAGAGATCAAGGTGAGAATTAATGCTCAAATTGTGAGGTTTTGTATTGAGAAATATCTTTTGGGGTATTTGTTTCATACAACATGTAGTATGGTGTCTGGGAGGCTTGATTCAGGATTTGGATTTGTAGGTACAGCATAACCCCAAAACAGTGAGTCCAACTCCTCAATCCAAAAGGATAATATAAGCAATATCAATTACTAAATACCGTATTCTCAAAAACAACAGCTTTATTAGGTACTGAAATTCAGAATTGTACGACTATGTTTTGATAAGGAAAAGCAAATGTCCCTAAAGCAGCATTAAAAATATATTAATGAAGAAATCCACTAAAAAAATCATGTTCGTGGTGTTGCCTGCAAATCCTACAAATAATAACACAGCTTGGTATTTCAGAGAGATGATTTCCTCATGATTTCACACATTGTTTTCAAATAAAGTAGATTGTAGCTTGTTGTTATGGAACAAAATGACTACATACCAGAAAGGTGGGGTGATGTCTTATTTGTTTTCTCACTCCAGAAAGCGTGTGTGTTTTTTCAAGCCCTACATTGAATTTCAGTCCCTTGGTACTGGTGATTTATTCTGGTTAGTGCTAGTTTTCCTTCTGACTAGAACTGTCGTGTATCCAATGCTGGTCTTGCTGGGCTATTGTTATGTGCGTGGGTGCCCTGCACCAGCCCCTGATGCCGTAGTGGGCTGTGGAATGTCAGCTTTAATTACTATATCCAGCTCCTCGCGGTGGGCTGCAGCTACGGTGGGAAGACACGGGTTATTAGAAGACACCTCCTACGCAGAATAGCTGGGTTCCTCCTGTGCTTGTCTTCTACCCGTCATGATTTTGCATGCCGTTGACGCAAGTAGGGAACACGCTGTTAAACCTTCGACGGATTTGGTGCGATAGTGTCGTCCTGACAAAATTTTCATCTTAATTAGTGGGGCTCTGTGACAGTTTGCAGAGAAGCATGCGCAGGGAACTGGCAAGATGTTCCTTTTGGGTAGTAAGTTTTTGGTGTGAAAGGGCAGAAAACTTGCTGAAGCTGTCCCTAGTGGGACAGGGACAGTAGCCCTCCAGGGGAGTCACCCCTGAAATGGGTTGGACAAAACCCATGCTGGTTGGGGCTTGGGCTAGGGGGGCTGCAAAAAAAATGCTTTTGTGTCCAAAGAATTTTAAAAGTAGCTCCTGGAGGTGCATTTTTAAGACGTTTGATTTGACTTTGGGGAATATTCTCTATCTTTAAGTCTATATGAAACCTTATTGAAAACAAGGAGAGCAATCTAAATCTACCCAGGGGGTCGCATCCCCCAGTGGTGAACCCATAGGACCAGACACATTGTCCTTTTGTCTATGTCAGGAAATAATACTAATTATCATTTAATACTTCAAATGGTGCTTAGCACTTCACAGACCCAAATGCAGTTAATTGATGATGATAATCACTAAGAACAGCTACACACCTGTACCTTCTATTGAGAAATGAAGGATTATTCCAGCTGATCATCATTTTTTAAGGTGGGAACTCTTCAGTAGTTTTCTGTAAAAGTAGCATAAGAAAATTCTTTGGCAACTGTACCAGTAAGAGTGTGAAATAGCAATCAAAATTGCAGCCATTCTCAAGCAAAACTATATTCATAAAATCATATGGATGTTTAGAATGGCTGTCACTTCATGTGGCAAATTTCATACACAGTACTTTGATCTCTGTGGTATTAATGTGCCAAAGTTTTTAAAATAAACTGTAGATTTCAAGTATCAGCTTGATTTATGTTTACTCTTAAGAATTCAAAGAAAATACTTTATGTAGACTCAAAAGCTGCATTTCCAGTTGCCAAAGATTAGTAGCTTTTAATGAATAACAGTAAACTGACAACTTGTAAAGAGATTATAAAAGTAGAAAACTAATTATGTAAACAGCATTATTGTGGCAATATGTTAATCTGGGTTCTTAAAAAATGGCTTTTTTAGGGAATGAATATTACTGCCATTTCTTTCAATTTCTATGGATTTCTTAAGTTCTTGATTGCTAATGAACCAGTGATTGTCTAATGATCAGCAGAGCTTTAGAACTCCATGCTTTACTTGAAAATGTTCTTTAATTTAATGTCTCTCTCTTAACATTGACTAATGAAACAGCGTTAGGAACTGTTTGCTGAGGGATTCCACAGTCACCATTAAATGTGGCTTTGTGAAGTGTAGAGGAAATGCACTTTTATTTTCTTCTTTCAATAAAGGGTGTACTCTGCTTCTTAATTTGTAGCACCTTGTTGTCCTTAGGTCCTTTTCAAAGCACCAAGCACTTTATGTGAAGCTGCATACTGGCGTTGATTTTTGTAGCAGCAATATAGCTACTCCAAAAAAAAAAAAAAAAGGCAGTATTCCTCAGTGTAGGCTCCATAATTGTGAAATTATGTTTCCTTTTCATATTATGCGAGTTCTCTTCTGCTGCACGTGATGAAAGATACTCAAACTCTCTGGTGGATTGGCAGCAGATGCTCCTCATCTGGAGCCATTTACATTTCTTTTCTTCCCTGAAGCACTAACTTTCACAAGAATAACCTTTTGAATAGTATATGGCTGCTTCATCAATATGGTTGTGTGTTGTATTTACTTAGTATGCTCAAAATGTCAAGGATATGTATATTGATTTTTGTACCATTCATGCATACTGAATAAATGCCACTGCTGGGTTTGGATTTTTTTTGTCTTTCTGTGCTTAAGACCATGTTTTTTCCACCACTGTCCGTGGAAATCGTTGAAGAGTTCCTTTGCCCTCACAGCTCTTCACGCTTGCACCTGTGTGTTGCCCACTTCTAGCTCAGGGGACATCCTCATGGTCTCCAGGTGACATGAGCGAGGGTCCCTCTCTGATGAGGACTATGCCAACTGTAGTTCCGACTGTCCTGTTACTTCTGAATGGTCTTTTTAATGGATTACAAAAGCTGAGAATTCTTTGTTTTTCTTGTTCGTTCCAGGGGACATGAGTTTTGGGTGGATTTGAATGTTATGAAATTATATGAAACTGTTGAGTTTGACCAAATGCGGCGGCTGTCCACACCTTCCTGCCCCAGCTCCAGCTCCAACTACTACACCGTCTGGAAATATTTCTGCAGGGACCACTTTGGCTGGAGAGAATATTCAGAGGTATTTAACATGTTCCAGAATCCTGCTTTTATGTTACAACCCAAAACTCTGTGTGCAGTAGATACTATAAACTCTATATAATAGTCTGTTTCCTCTTCAAACAACCTGGTCTAGTGGGAGGTGTCCCTGCCCATGACAGGGAGGTTGGAACTAGATGATCTTTAAGGTCCCTTCCAACCCAAACCATTCTATGATTCTGAGATTCAGGAGAGTTATTTAGAGCTATTGTTGAAGAAAGTAATTGAGATGATCAGTGTTGAACAGCAAAAGCAGTAAAAGGAGAATTCTGCTCTGCTGGGCTGCGCCTTGAATTATCCCTGAAAACATCAGAGATGCACAGGCTGACCAAATTGTCAAATTTGAGAGCAAACTGGCCCATGTCAGTATCAAGGAAGTCCTTTCTAATCCCTAGAAATCTGGTTGTAAGTCGGAGGGACAGCTTTCTGCAGCCTTTTAAATACCACTACCTTTTAGCTTTGCAGTTTTTAATGTATTTACCCGTCTCCAAAGACACCTCAAGGCAGGACGGGAGCCTCCAGTGTGGCTGGATGCGGCCCCTCGCTGTCAGGGAGGCTGCACTGCAGTGCTCCAGCTGGACAGACCCTGCTCCTTGGGGACCTCTTCCTAAACATCTCCTTTAAATCTGTCCTCCCATGGTTTATGCACACTCATTCCGGGGTCACCACTGCCCTTTGGTCTTTAACAGCCACAGTTTTCCATATCAGGTTTTAAATAGGCCTTGTCTCTTCGAACTCTTTAACTCCAGTGATAGGCACAGAAGTCACGTCCACTGTCAACCAGGGTTGTGCTAGACAAAACCAGAATACTTCTGTTCCTTCAAGTAAGCTCTCCAGTAAGCCTTGTAAAATGCCTGTGGTAGTTAAGAGCTCATCTTTGGCTAACCAGAGCTGCACATAATATTTTGAATAAAACCTCATCAGTGTTTTACAATTTTGGCAGTACCAGAAATACCTCCACCAGTGGAAACTAGATCATGTTCATCTTTTTCTTGCATCAGGCTGACTTTGTAAGTGTGGTAGGAAGCTTAAGGCAGAGCACTGTATACAGTTTGGGGCTTTCCAAATGAAAAAACCATAATTATGCAAGAACTGGACAGAGTCTGGAAGAAAGCAGTGCAAATAACAAGACATTCAGGATGTTTGACCTGGGAGGAAAAGTTAAAAGAACTGGGTTTCTCTTGTGTAGAAAAGAAAAAAATATTTATGAGAACATATTAATATATAAAAGATTGTTCTACAGCAGACTTCTGCTTTTTACGTTCAGTGAGCAAAGACAGTAAGTAATTTCTATCAAGGGAGTTTTAGGTTAGATATTGGGAATAACACTGGACATGTAAAAAATGTAAAAATACAATAGCACCAACAGCAGTTGTGTAGGGAAGCTGTGAAACCTGCCTTATTGGGAGATCTTATAAACAGGTAATGGAACATTTTTCAGTGGTCTGAGTGTAGTTATGCCTCAGAGCAGGGGAAGGAGGAGATGGGAGGGGAGTAGAGAGATGGATTCTTTGAGGTCTCTGGCAAAAATATTGTTTTTTAAGCATTTTTTCACGTGTATGCTTTTGTTTTAATTTTCTTGAAACAGCCTGTTGTAAGACTGATAGAAGAAGCCAGCTGCCGGGGTCTGAAAGAGGTTCGGTTTGTGACCTGGCATAATCAGTATATCTTAAACATCAAAGATGGATTCCAGCAAAACGCGTGTTTCAGAAGAGAAATCAAGAGGAGACCCCTTCTTCGCTCATGCATTGTGCTGATGCCGTTTTTACAGTATGTATCCCAGCAAAGTGGAAACTTCATGTTTGTTCTGTTCATAAGAATTATATTCCTTAAGATGTGGCAAGGAAATAGGCATCCTTGGGTAGAAACATCAGAACAAATAATAAAAAATCTTGGTCTTATTGGCAGCTCTCGCTTGTCATTTTTCAAGATAAATATTATCTGAGGATCTCCTTACAGCTAGGCTCTGTTTGTTATTTAAAGGTTAGAATGTACCTTGTGGATTGCAGAACATCAGAAGCACAGATGTACTTCACGTTTGCCAAAATATTGTCCAGCTTTCGGCATCTCACTGGTTATAGTGATTGCCGGCCTATCAGTTCTAGGTCCCATAAAAATGAACATTCAAAAACACTTTACAGTTCTCAAGCACAATTAAAGCATGCCTTGTTTTTATTGTCATCTGAACTGGGGGTGAACACGCTCACCCATCAAAGGCAGAGTGAGGAAGGTGTTGCATTGTAGTCATTTTTGATTAGAACTCATAAAAATGCCATTTTTGTGATCTCACCAGCACAGCTGGAAATATTATTGTCAGAGTTCAGTAGTTAGGAACATATTGTCCTCTTAGCAAAGGGGTGGAAGTCGTTAGTCTGACTGGCAGCTTGGCATGCTGGGCCCATCAAAGGAGCTTTAACTGCTGCAGTAGGGCTAGAATGCTCATTAGCTTGCAGAGTCGTTACTGCTTCTAATTGCGAGGTGAATGTGAATTTGGTCAGAGCCTCAAAACACGTGGCTGTTAGAAATATTTTTAGATATGGTTTTACAGGAAGGAATCGCAAAATTATTAAAGAGGTAGGATGCTGGTAAAAAGACCAAGCGTGGACTTGCTGGTTATAGCAATTCTGGTTATCATCTTAATGAAGAATAAGGATTTTGTGTGTTTTCCTGATGTTTTGCTACCAGAGACTATTTTACTAGAAAGTCTGTACTTTTGAGATACGCTGAAATTATGCAATTCCCACTAATTGTAGTGGACTCTTGAGGGTTCTATACTCATGAGGGCTTGAGCCTAACTATTTGTGCCAGCCACCAAATTTATAAAGTAAGTTCTGAAATGTACGTTGTTCTGCGATGAACCTTTTCTTTATCTTAAGACCTTGTAATGCTTACTTTAAAATCCACCAATTCTTAGCAAGGAACAAAAGAGTACTTTAAGTATTTATGGGAGCTATCCTTAAGAAGTCAGTCTTTGCCTCCGCCTACCATACACTGCTACCTGAGATTTTTATTTGTCTCCTCCCTACTACCTGCTTAAATTGGTTACAAAATTGGGAAAGAATACTTGCATAGAAACTGTGGCAAGTGGGTGATAGTGGTTGACAAATGTTGACTTTTTAATGGCTTCCCCTGTATAATAAATGCTTACAAATAATTTACACTAGTCAGAAGAAATGAGCAAAGTACACCAAAAGATTGCAGTTATTTTTATTGTGTTTGATGTCTTACTCATTAATCCATAATGTATTATTAATCTGTGCTTGGTCTTCCAGTCCCAGTGTGAATGAATGAGGTTCTACAGTAACATATTTTACCTATTGATTTTAGGAGGGGAAAAAAATTATTAAATGCAGACTGTAATATTGCATGCTGCTGTTTTGAGAACCATTCTTAGAAAAATCCATCCTCTGGGTTTCCGTTAAACTATTAATAAACAGCGAGAAGAATTTTCAGTTGAGTCAAATCTATGCAAATAAAGTGAGGTCCCTTTTTAGCTTTGAAGAGCAGGTGAAAGCCACGTGAACACTTTTTTAAAGAGTATCTCTCCTCTGAAAAGTGTGAGTGCTATTACAGTTTACTGTGTCTCTGATACAAATTAAATGTCTCATTTTAAAAATGGACCTTTTTTCCCCCATTTTTTTTTCCTACATCTGAAAAACTCAACCTGCAATTAGGAAATCACATTAAATTATTTCTGGGTCGCGCAAAAAATCACCCAGTTCTTTCAGGCTCATATATCACTACCATTAAATATGCTGAAAGGCAACCTTGATTGACATTTCTGTAGGTAAGATGTGAATAGCAGTGGAATTCTTATTTCTTGAGATAATTATGTTGGCTCTGCAGAGAAAAGCAGGCTAACGAGCAGGGACAATCAGCAGTTGCTGTGTGGCTGTGCTGCGAGAGCAGACTGTCCGGGTGCAGAAGTCACGGGTCCACGGCTCTTCAGGCAGTGTCACACGGGAACAAAAGAAGATTCATTCCTGAAGAGTCACTGGGGATAAAATGGCTTTGCCTTTAGCCAAGCCTGGAGAGTTTGTTTGCTCCCCAGTGAACTCTCTTTTTACAAAGAGAGTTTGTAGGGAATCGAGTTTGCCTGTCGTTCCTGTGTGCGAAATCCAACTGCGTATGTGCTGGGAGGCAGGATTTGGACTTGGCCGTTGTGAATCCTCAGCTTCCCCAAGATGAATAGACAAAGGATTCACTTTCCCCGTTTCCTCCTAGGCAGAACAGGTTTCCTCCTTAGGCTTTGGCAGTGATACGTTATCAAAACAAAAGTGACCCGACAAATTTCATGAACTTTAATGTTCATTAAACTTTAATTAAATTTAATTTAAGGTACCTCTGCCTTCCGAGTGTACCTCACCTGCTTGCATTCACTGTGGAATGGTCCTGGAGTCAATAGCAGCTTTTCATAAAAAAATACTTTAGTAAAATACTCAGCTGGTGAAACGTTGAGGTAGTTCCATGCATTGTTCCAACTGAAAGGGAACCTCAGCAGCTTGCAGGAGCTGAAGAGCTTTGAAAACCAGAGCTTGAACCTGCAAGCTTTACATGTTCCAAGTATTTTCCTTGACGTAAGAGGGAGACTCCAATAAGTAAGGATTATTCAGCTGGGTAAGGCTTGCTTGTTCAGATTATAATCAGGTGAACATAAGCCACAAATGCCACACTCTCTATCTAAATTTAGCAGCTTCGAGAGTGTGAAAAATTCTGCAGAGGTGCAGGTATTTACTGAGAACTAAGTCTTGCCACACCAGAGTTGGTGTCCTTAACTGGAATTTACTGGTGTCAGTTCTTTTCCTGGCGTCTGTGCTACTTTCCTGCCACGGCCGTTGCAGGCAGCAGCTCCCCTCCTTCGCCCCTTCCGGGCTCCCTCCCTGGCAGCATTCCCAACAGGAGGAGCTGGGCTGTCACATGGAAATAAGCAACTGCAAATGCAAATCTACATCTGGCCTCTGCAAATAAAAAAAAAAAAAAAGAGAGCTTTCCTCAGCACGATACTGGGTAGTACTGAAAATATAGCATCTCCTCTTCCACATAATGCAGTGAAACACGGGCGGGTTTTGCCTATAAAATATTCTTAGTTGAGGTTATTCACTATTCATACTGTATAAAAAAGTATATGTTTCTACTCTTTGTATTGTATTTTAAGGAAATGAGGTCAAATGTTGGCACATTATTAATATTTTCTTATTCTGTATGTCCTATTTGCTGTGTTAAAATCACAAATACTTTATATCCAACAGACAAGATAGCTGTATTTGGTAGCATTCTGCCTGTCTGTAGTTTATAACCCCACCCCATAATGTGAATAATGACGATAGGAGGCTTTTAAACACCACCAAGCAGAAAAATTTCCCTACGTGGAACAGAATCCCTGAAAGCCAAGGTTTTGTTATTCCTTTCTGTGGATGGAGGAGTTATTAAAATAGCAGAAATAGTTGGCATGTGTTTCAAACAAGCATTAAAGATATGTGAATTGGGACAGAACTGAAGAGCAGCAATTGCTTAAGATGTGTTGGTGGTGAAATAAATGTGATTTGAAGCTTTTCTGTTTGTGAATGTTTAAGCACAACCTTTTTTCTCCTTTCCCAACTAGGACCTTAAGTGGGAACTCTCCGGTACCCTCTCCAGCAGCCGAACCAGCTTCCTCCCATGTCTTATCTCCCACTGCTGTTACCTCTCCAAACTTCTATCCTGAAACCTGGATTAGTATGGATCCGTCTCAGGACTTTATCCAAGTGCCTGTTCTGAAGGAAGATAAAAGCTATAGAACCATTTATAACCTGTTTCACAAGACTGTGCCAGAGACCAAATATAAAATCTTGAAAATCCTGAGAGTGCAGAATCAGTTTCTTTGGGAGAAATACAAAAGGTAAGATAATGCAAATGCCATTCTTTTACAATACTGGAAAAAATACCTTAAAATATGTAATTTGGGCTGCAAAATATAAATTGATCGTTAAGTAGAATACATAAACTCCAGATTTTTCTGAAGAAAAGGAGTATCTTCAGTTGAACAACTTTATCTGAAAAATACTGAAAGATATCTTACTCTGAAATTTCCCGTGTAAGTGGTTTAATATACTATCTACTGATAACTTTTTTAAAATACATCTTCACAGAAATTTCAAAATAAATCTAAGATATCTAGTTGAAAAATCTTTCAGATCACTTTTAAGCTGAACTAGGAGGAATTGTTTTCATCAGATAATCACTGTGTTGAAGATAGCTATTCGTGCCTTGGTTCCCCAGAACACAGTGACGCAGGGTCTTGCAAAGACAACTCCTGTGTCAATCACTCCCAAAGATGCTGTGTCTGAAAGTTGCTATCCATTGACCCCCTCATAACGGATATGAAATTAGATTTGTGGATTCACTCCCCCTTCTCGAGAAAAGCAGAATCTCAGGAGAAGTGGAGAGATGGGCTGTGGGAACAGAGACTGACCTTCTTACAGTGCTCGTGCTGGCCCAGAGCATCTTCACCCACCCTGCCTCAGTAATTCCCCTCCGTGGCCTCTTCTGAAGCTGTAGTGGGATTTAATTTTTGCACAGCCCTTTTTTTCACTCTGGGGAAGATTTCCTTCCCCATCCAAGGTGGAATATAGGCAAAGATAAGCAGGTACTTGTCCAGCTGTTTTGCCTTTGCTGCTGCGCAGGTGAGAGAGCTCTGCCTCCAGCAGTAGCAGCTCAGGACCTATAAAACATACTTATTTCACACAAAAGCTTTATGTGAAAGAGGAAAACCCACTCTGCTATCCGTACAGAAATGTTTTCATATCTCCTCTTACAGCTCTACTATTCCAGAGGATAATACTGATACTTTAAGAGCTGTAGTGAAAACTGCTTTTCCCTTACAGATCCCCGGCGAATACTCATCTTCACTTTCCATTTTCTATTCCAGGAAAAAGGAATATATGTCAAAAAAAATGACTGGGCTTGACAGGATAATGAACGAAAGGCATTTGTTCCATGGCACCTCCCAGGACGTGGTGGATGGAATCTGCAAGCACAACTTCGACCCGCGCGTCTGCGGGAAGCACGCCACCATGTTTGGACAGGGCAGTTACTTTGCCAGAAAGGCAAGCTATTCCCATAATTTTTCCAAAAGGTCACCCAAAGGAGTTCATTACATGTTCCTGGCCAAAGTCCTGACGGGAAGGTACACGGTGGGTAACCACACCATGAGGAGACCTCCACCAGTGAACCCCGGCAGCATTACCAGCGACCTCTATGACTCTTGCGTGGACAATTACTTTGAGCCTCAGATATTTGTCATTTTTAATGATGATCAGAGCTACCCTTATTTTATTATCCAGTATGAAGAAGTTAGCAACACTGTCTCCATTTGACAACCTGTGCTGCTAAGTTACTCATTTTAATAAACTCTCTTACCTGGCATTGGTAGCAGTTTTTGTGGAAAAAAAAAGTATAAAATTGGACATTGCAGAACTGATTAAATTACTTGCTTGGAAGGAAGTAAATCTCAAAATATAGAAAGGAAGATCTGAAGTGACCAATTGTGCACTTGCTGTTTGATTATGTATGTGCAAATTGTAAATATTTTTCCATTGTTTATAGTTGAAAATCTGTGCCTTTTGTTATAAAACACTGTTTATTTATGTTAGTAAATATTCATGTTTAAAAATGTGTGTGTGTATAATTTCAGTTGCGTTCTGTGCATATGAGAGCAGCTAGAAAATTGCATATGCCCTTATCTCAAAATCTTGTGGATGGCCATTTCTAGATAACCAGAACCAGATAATTTTCATCCCACGTATATTAAATAAGAGATTTTCCCAACCACTATTTTTTATTACTGTATTTGAGAAAGACTGGGGGAGATTACAAAACTAACATTCTGGTCATGCTTTGGATTATTAAACAGGACAGTACAAATAAATACATCATTTTCTAAAATCAACCCTAAGTAAAATTAGGAAGAGGTTGTTCTGGCACGCAGTCCGTGAGCTCCGTGAGGGTTTAAAGCTTCCCAGCAGCTTATGGGACATCCAGTTTATCACTTCTTGTGGCTGTGGCGGGGATGGGAAGGCCACTGGGGCATCACCCAGCTGCCAAGGGCCAGGTCCGTGCCATCAAACCTGTGCACAGTCAGGTATGTGCCACCAGTCCCCGTCACTGCCAGACGGCCCCCAGTTTAAGCAGGGTGGCTTTGGGGAGCAGGTTTCTTGGAAAAGAAACCCCAAACAAAGCCTGGTTTTGATGAGGCTTGAAATCTGATCAAGGATGAAAATCTGTGTTCGTGTCACTTAATGAGTCTGATATTAAATGAATTTAAAAATGATTGGTACATTAAAATAATTGTTAACACATAATCCTCATTTAATCAGGGAATCTTTTGTGTTTTCCAGGCAGCAGTGCTTGGCTCAGTGCTCTTCGGTACCTTTAGCAGGGATATGGAAAAAGTAACAGAAAACGGTGGCTGATGTTGCAGCTGGCCCAAGCCGGGGTAGATGGTGGAATATTGGATATAAGGAAAAAATTCTTCACCAAAAGGGTTGTCGAGCATTGGAATAGGCTGCCCAGGGAAGTGGTTGACTCACCATCCCTGGAGGTACTTAAAGGACATGTAGATGTGGTGCTGACGGACATGGCTTAGTGGTGGACTTGGCAGTGTTAGGTTGGTGGTTGGACTCTCTGATCTTAAAGGTCTCTTCCAACCAAAACAATTCTATGATTTGAAAGGCTGGTCGGTCATTCCCAGCTCCTGGGATGCTGAGCTCTTCCAAAGGATGGGTGCTGTGATGCACCCTGGGGCACGTTCACATGTTTGTGTCTCAAAGAGGGGGAGCGGGACAGCGCATCAAGCAGAAACCCATGCTGGGGTGACATTACATGGAAAGACCTAGCAGTTGACAGGAGGGACCCCAGCAGTGACACTGGGGCTTGTGGCACAGCTCGCTGGAGCTGGTGCCTGCGGGGGTTTGGAGGGACTCCCATCCGCTACAGCACACACTGCAGTGGAACAGCTGAAACCATCGCACAGGGCTTTTTATCTAACTGTGCTTTACAAAAAAAAAAACCCAACCTCTTATGTGGGATCAGAATAATTTCAGAACTGTGATTTGAAACTCAGGAAAGGTTAAGTAAATAGAATCATAGAATGGTTTGGGTTGGAAGGAAACTTTAAAGGCCATCTAGTTCCAACCCCCTGCCATGGGCAGGGACACCTCCCTGTAGACTGGGTTGCTCAAAGCCCCATCCAGCCTGGCTTTGAATATTTCCAGGGATGGGGCATCCTCAACTTCTCTGGGCAACCCGTGCCAATGTCTCATCACCCTCACAGTTGAGAATTTCTTCCTGGTATCTTTCAGGTATCTTCCTGGACTCTTTCAGTATAAAACCATTCCCCCTTGTCCTATCACTCCATGTCCTGATCAAGAGTCTCTCCCCATCTCTCCTGGAGCCCCTTTAAGGACTGGAAGGGGCTCTATGGTCTTTCTGGAGCCTTCTTTTCTCCAGGCTGAGCAACCCCAACTCTCTCAGCCTGTCCTCATCTGGACCTTCTCATGTTGGGGACTCCAAAGCTGGACACAGCACTGCAGGGGGGTCTCACCAGAGCTGAGCAGAGGGGCAGAATCCCCTCCCTCACCCTGCTGACCCCAGGATGCAGTTGGCTTTCTGGGCTATGAGTGCATATTGTCAGCTCATGTCCAGCTTTTTACCCACCAGTCCCCCCAAAGTCCTTCTCAGCAGGGCTAACAATTACCTCCATTGCAAACCTTGGCATAGTTTGTGTTCTCAGCTCAGTCTGGTTTTCTCTGAAGCACCATGGCACAGCAGAGCCCGTGCCACACGCTCACCAGCCATGGGGCCACCTTGGGAGCCAGTTTGCCTACTGACTCTTGCCTGGGCTTGTTCTACCAGAGTCATTAGGAGCTCATCACAAGCACACTCAGATCCCTGCTACCTTACCAGAGCTGCAACAAGCTGGCCAGCATTACAAAATTTTAGATATATGGCAGGTGACATAGTTTATATCCCAGTGAGATTAGCTTTATAGTTGTTCACCTCAAGCAACCTGAGTTAGATGTACCCGAGATGCCCTGTCCTCATTAGGATCTTTACAAAGTGTTACTATCTCATTATAAAAGCTACATCTGCTTTATTAGCACAGGTGTGGCTGAGGAGCACTCGCCTCATGTCTGGGAAGCTCAGGTGGCCCCAGTGCCTCTGCCAGCCCAAAGAGCAGGTCTGGTGGGTCTCTGGGATGGGAAGGAAGCCCTCAGATTCAATGTTCTGCAGCTCAGCAGCAAACCTTCTTCAGCTGAGCCTGGAGCTGCACTTTTGGGATAACCTGCCCAGTGTCCACTTTCTCTCTGGGGTATAATAAAAAGCGTGTTTTGCCACGGGAGAGAATTATTTACTCCCACCAGGGCTCCTGCTTGTTTCTGTCTCTCCAGGTCACTCCTGGTTGCCTGTAGTAGATCAAAGCAGCTGCTAGGTGAGAAGAGGGGAAGATGCAAACAGCTGGTTCTACTTAACTCCCAATGTCTTTTGAGGCTCTTGGCAGTACAGGGGAGAGCTCAAATTTGAGGGTGTCTGCCTTGGAGGAGGAGACATATGTATTCTGGGATGTGGAACACCGAGGAACTGGTCCTGGCTGTAGCTTGTCTCCCCAAGAGATGCCTTCAGAAAGGTAAGGTGGTTCATGGGGGAAGGATTGTAGCTGATGATGAAGTAAAGCTGAGGTTATCTCCTTTTTAAAGCTGCTAAAAGTTCTGGCTTGCCTTCTTTCTGGTGATGATCAGGCTTTCCTCCAGTAGCTACAGCAGCAGCTTAGTGGCTGCTGGGAGGTGGTGGAGGTGTGCCCTTGTGCCAGTTTGGTCCAGCCATAGTGGAATTGGGATGGAAAAGTGGAACTTTCTCCAATTGCTTGCATGCCCTGCAGACACCTTGCCGGGGAGTGTTGTCAGCTGAGCCCTGCCTCCACCAGTGCTGCTGCTGCCCATGGCATGGGGGAAGGCTCGGTGCCTCTCCCTGCCCTTGCCAGGAGCCTGGGGCAGCCTCCTGGGGGGGTGACTGGGGCCAGGAGCTGCTCCAGCAGCACCAGCTGGTTGTCTGAGACTGTTATGTTACACCTACAGCTGTATCTGCATGTTTTAGAAGTGTCTTTACATTGGGATCTGAAGTTACTTCAGAAGGCAGATGTAAGATTTACTTAAGAGATAGAGACTTTGAATGAGGGTTGATGTTCTCATGGCTTTTGCGTTCAGTGGTTCCCCTCCATCAAAGGCTTCTGGCCAGTTTGGGCCTTGGATGAGCAGGATCTGTGTGGGAGGTGGGACTGCTGCTGGGAGTAGGGAAATGTCTGTCATGGAGGGTGTGCTGGGGGCTACAAACCCTCAGGACAGGGATCAGAGACTTCCCTCTGTTCCCAAGCCATCATTGGGGAAACTGGTCGTATTTTTTTCCTTGGATGTCATAATGGGATTTTGGTCTTCTGGGACCTTCTCCTCATCCTCACTGCCACCCACTTGCTCCTGCATCCCTGTGCTTGCTGGTGTTCCCAGGATGGTTTTCCTGAACTTTCACTTCTTAAGACTTTCTTGTTGAGACGGATGTGGGGGATCCGTGATAACCAGCTCTGGTGACACGCTGCTGACAGTGTCTTGAAAATATTTGTGTTGCTTCCATGCCAACCACTTCCAAGTGTATGAACCATCCCCCAAAGGCTTATCGAATCAGCAGCTCCTCAGCACATGGGTGGTGCTCCATGGAGGCTGCAGGACCCGATTTCCCCTTTCATACCCATGTAAGTTTGACCCTGTAGCTCGTGTAGCTGGTCACAGGGATGGCCAAAACTCATCATGGCTGGACCACAGCAGCAGGGGATGGGCAGAGGTGTGCCATGTCACCACGTGCTGTCAATGTCCACCTTGCCGTTCATTGATAACCCTCCAGTGTCCATCCTTAACTCTCCCAGGGCTAGTGGAGGATCACTCTTGGCTTCTAACTTGCCCTGGGGCTACCTGTGGGGGCAGGACCTGGGCAGGAGCCAGGGAGATGTGTGGGCATCGAGGCAGAGCCTAGCAGGAACAGAGCGTGCCCCTAATCACCGAGCGGGCTGTTAATTGCCTCCTACGTGCATCATCGCAGCTCCTTCCGTAGCACCAGTTGCTCAAGGGGTGTCTGAGCAGAATATACAGAGAAACCAGCTGCTACTAAATCCTGCTCTGGAGCTACCCCTCCGAGGAACATCAGGAGAGAATGGGCCTGATCCCAACCTCACTAATGGGAGTGCTCCTGCTCGCTGCTGGGGGCTGCTGCAATTGTGTTTATCTCTCTAAAAAACATACATAAATATAACTGCAGTGAAACCCTCCCGCAGCCCTCACAGCTGGTCTATTTAAAAGCCTGTCACCAGATTTCCCACCCCTCCCACTTCCCCCTCGCTGTTTGTTATTGAAGGAGGTGTTTGCCTCTATCCCTGCATGGGGTTTCTGGGCAGGATCTGTCCCCGTCCGTGGGTCCCACCCCACCCTCTGCAGCAGCCAGTGGGGCCTGGGGGTTTGCTGTGGTGTGAATAAATAGTAGTGTTTTCTTGCCTTGTTTTTTGGTGGTGTCACCCATCAAGAATTCGAAGATGAAAATAGGTGAAAATGAGTGTTTGTGATAAAGATCTCGGC